CGGGTTGTCCGTCTCGCTGGGAGAAGCGGGCCCTGGTAGCCAGGAGCTCAGGAGAGAGCGAGCGCCTGACTCGGGGGACCTGCCGGCCCTGGTGTCTCCGGTGAAGGGCATGTCGATTGATCGTGGTCTCGGCGTCCTCTCGTTCGTCGGGGAGGGGATGCCAGAAGATGCTGGAGAGTATACGGCAGCAGGACGAAGTTCTGTACTGGACTGATGGCGTTGATGGCGAAAGTGTTGCTGGAGAGAGGAGGGAGTGGCATGGGGGGGCCCCAGAGACAGAGGTCTCGAGGTAGACTGTCTGGTGCTGTTCAGGGTAGCGGGCGCGGGGAGAGCGGTTGATGGGACGGTGGGATGGGCCCCTTGCCGATCTTGGGCCAGGGGACGACCTGTCGGCGCGGCGTTCGCATCCGCGGTTTGGTAGAGAGGGTGGCTCGCACGCATTCCATTTGGAGGAGAGTCCAGGGGTCTTCCAGACCCCCTCGGGCCATCAGCCGCGGGGACGGAAACGGAAGGGCTTAGCATGACGTGCTAATGTTTCGCGTGTAGTGGGAGGTCCTCTGGGTGCTCCAACACTAGCGATTTCCGCGGTTCGCAGCCCGGCTCTGGTATGTTGAGGAGCGCGAGAGCGCGGTAGTGCCACTGTACCGATGCGGCAAGTCCAGCTATCGACAAGGCAGGAATGTGAACGACTGCTGGACAGTATAGCGCGCCGGGACGGGGACGGGGGTAAAGCTGCAAGCTTTTCCCCTCTAGTCTGCGCCTCGGCTCCAAAAGCTGTGAGGCGAAGACCGTCCTGGACCTTGCGGGCCTCGATTGGCGGCAAGGCGAGGCCGAACTTTTCAGGAGACCAATGTTGGCCGGTGAATGTTAACCCAGCAGCTGGGAAAGGCGAACAAAGGACGCGGCGGACCGGAGGTGGGAGTAGCTCGGGTCGGCGTCGCGGGAGACCGATCCAGGCTGTCTTTCCCTTGACCTGACTGTCGGGCAATGCAGAACAAAGAGAGGACGCGGGAAAGGTGGGGTGGGAGGAAGACGGATCGAAGGGCTAAACTATTGACGGTGAAGGGATGCCTGGAATGCAGCACGGTGGACGGATGGGCGATTGAGGGGAGGGACGAGCTCGTGGTAATGTCAAGACAGACCAGGAAGGAAGAAAGTTGCAGATGGCCGAGATGAATAGAGACAGACCAGGAGTCAGGGCAGGTTCATGCAGGATCCATGCCGGCCCAATGACGAAGGGGTCTTGCTGCTGAGGTCTTGGTTCTTCGGTTGTGGCTGGCAGTGGATGGGATTCGTGGATGCGACGCCAGGGCGGGCCTGGAACCACATTGTGTGTTGTCACTTGTCGGTGGGGAGACGAGAGTTTAGTGCTGAGAGCTCAGTGCTCAGTGCCCTGCTGGCCTGGACCGACAGGCCAGTGGCAGGAGAATTGGCCCCAAAGACCCTACAGTATACCTAGGCTCACTACGTGACCGCGAGGCATCGACCCGTCGACCACCTGCTAGGTAAGGCACAGTAGGTACTCATCTCTCATCCTCAGTGGGAGTAAGTATGCCTGGGAACGTCTGGTGGCTGGGAATGCACGTGCACGCGCACGCGCACGCAGACGTCAGATGGGCAGACGGCAGCTGTGCACCAATGCCGACCCGTTGGAATGTTTACCTCGCTTCTGAGCAGGGATCTAGCATGATCCGAGCTCCTAGATGGGCCCTGAGATCTCGCCGTTCACGCCCACGCCGTTCACAGACAGCGTTGGAGAAACAGCTGATCGATCGTGTGGCAAGACATGGGAAAATGCCATGAGCAGTCATGGACGGTGGGCTCTACGTAACGGGTGTCACGATGAAACCATCCTCCTACTGCATGTTCCAGATGAAGCCATCATGTTGTGCAACGTCTTCGTCATTTTCCCAAGTCCAAGTCCTACCCTACGCACCACCACCCTCCATCGTCATTTTGCGCTGGGGGGGGGCGGCTATTTTGTCTTGTCACAATATGGCTTTGCTCAGTTGATTGTACATGTGTTATGTGTTGTGCAAGGTCCTGAAAACGTAATCGCCTACTCAACCTGCTGTCAGTGCTTCATTCCACAGGCAGAGTTCACTTGGGTCACGTGATGTAGTTCTTCCTGATGGTTCAACATGAGCGTCTTTGTCTGGTGCTAGTGCCGTGGTCGAGGTGGCGATTATCTCAGCAGCTTGACCTACACCAGAATCGCACTTACCATGTCATATCATTTCCTGAGCTGTCGCATCCTGACTCCTCACGTTTAGGCGCAGACATTGCAACCGTCACACACACACGATAACGCGCCCGACAGATAGCTTGACGATGCTCTCTCATTGGGCCGGCCTCGATATCTATGCGCACCTCGAACCTCCCGTATAGCGGAAGATGAATGACTTTCTTCCTATTCATCATGACCTGCTCATCCACGAGGCCACCCAACACCGTGAACCAGTAGCCACAGCAACAACATGAACTCCCGCCCGCCCGTCGTCCCCGCGATCAGTAGAACGACTCGACCATGGTATCCTTCATGCCCGTGTTGATGTTGCTCGGCCCCAGACCCTCGCCAAGCCTGAAGACGCTCTCAATGACGCTGAGCTCCGTCGCCGTCGTGTCGAGACCCGTCACCGCCATCCAGTCGTTGACCACCATGCCGGCGCCGACGACGTTGCTCCCGCGGTTCACACTGCCCGCGACGAGCGGCACCTGGAGCAGGCTGCTGAGCTCGTCCTGGTCCTGTATCGACGTCTTGGGGTGCACGAGGCCGCCCTGGTTCGAGAGCGACATGTACGAGCCGACGAGCACATTGTCGGCAATGGTCTGCCGGAAGACCTCGACGCCGAGCACGTCGGCGATGATCTCCTCCGTCTCGCGCTCAATGTCGGGGTGCACGAGGGCGATGTGGTCGTTGGTCACGATGACGTTGCCGAGGGCTGACAGGCGCTCTTCTATCCGCTGTATCCGGATCGCGTCCGGGAGGCTGTTGCGCAGGTGCTGCAGTTCTTGGTCGGTCGTGTTGGTCGGCACGAGGAGGCCCTTGCGGTTTCTGAAAGGCAGGGCGGAAGCAAGAACGTGTCAGCAACGAGAAGCCATGGACAGTGTAAGGGACCGCATGTGAGCGGGTGAGAGAGAGGAGGGGGGAGCAAACGTACCCCGCGGTCATGCGCCCGATGATCCTCGAGCCGGCAATGGTTGTGCGACAGATGGGAATGACGTCTTGCAGTTCCGCCTCGAAGACGCTGTAGAAGTTCTCGCTGGCGCCGATGGCCGTGAGGGCGTAGGAATTTGTGAGCGTCGCGAAGACACCAACTCTGCACACGGTGAGGTCAGCGCAACATTCTGGGTGAGGCGAGATGCATCCTCTCTCGCTCTCGCATGGCGGGGTCGGCGGGGTCGAGGGGTCGTCTCGGCATACTCGTTGGAGTTCTCAAACTGGGCTCGCACCGCCATGTTTGCTGCGTCTGATCGGGGAAAAACTTGGGAATCGGGAATGTTAGGTAGAGGGTCTCGAAAAAGCTGCGCTCGGCACAAGAAGAGAGCAGCTGCGGGTCGTCGTCTGTAAGGTATCACGAGTTTGAGGTGCAAAGAGATGGGTTTTTTCTGCGGGCAGAGCTCGCATGTTAAGGGCCAGAGGGCCAGAGGGCCCAATTGAGGGGGGCGACCGAGTGGGGCTGCCACTGGTTGCGGGAGGCAATCCCTGTACCTTAGCACCAAGGCACCTCCTCCCCTTCTGCACTGATGCTGCTGACAACTCGAGTTGAGGCCTCGTACCCCGCCGCTGCCGCCTTGTCTGGCTCATCTGGGCTGCCGATGACTCAACATGCACATTCAATTGCCACTGGTGACTCCTCATAGGCGTCTCTTGCTATTGTGGATTTGCATGTAGTGCTAGCTCCTGCATCATTTCACTTGACAACGGTTCACGGCAGAATTCAGCCCTGCACCCGTCGCCGCATTGAGTCATCCTGAGCAGTTGCACCATGCTTGCTCATCATGATGTAGTCCAACTGAAGACTCTCTCTCTTACCGCCTTCCTGTTTCCCTGCCCTGCGTGGCCAGAAACTCATCCAGCTCTACATGAAGTCTCAACCCCTTGGACTGCATCGTGTTGAAAACTGACCCCAGCTCAAACTCATCCATCACGTTGGCCAGCGTAGTGAACGCCTCCATGGCCAGGTCTTTGGACCACGGGCACTGCCCAAGGCCACGGAAGAAGTTGTCTTTTGCCTTGGCTCGGAGTTCCTTCCGCGAGTGGCTAAACTGAATATAGCACCGCCATAGCTCGCTGTTGGCTCGACACGCCGGGCTTTTAAGTGCCTGTTCAAAGGCGGCACGGGTCGAGTGCGAGTTGCCTCTTTGTAGCTCATAGTTGATGGCAAAGATCCGGCTGCTGACGCAATCATTCTGATTTGCGAGGGCAGTGCTGCGAAGCATGTCTCCGACGGGGTCGTCAATGCCAAAACTCGAAGATGCCCATGCGAAAAGACTCAGGAACATTGTGTTCCTAGGAAAGATACCGAGGCATTTGGCAAGCTGCTCTCGCAGATAGGCGCTTCGAAACGGACTAGGCAACGCGGTCAGTATTTTTACCGCAAAAATGCTGATCCCCAAGTGAATTGCTCGCACATACCCTTGCCTGGCATGGAAATAGAGTAACCTTGCCGCTGACTGCAGTAAAACCTCGTGGGCTGCTTGGCCTGCAAAGCCACACTTACTGAGACCCTCGCTCACCGACCATACTCTATCCATTGCTGTCGAAATGTTGCCCTGCATCAGAGACGCTGATTCAGATCCCCCTCCAACTGTCAGATACTCGCATAGGATCAGTGCACCTGCGTTCAGAGCTGTGGATTCAGCTTCAGAAGCTGGTGTGTTGTAGCCTAGGTTGCCGCGTAGGGTTTGTTGCGTGATGAGTAACTGATGGGGCGTTATCGTCACCTCAGGGTCTGGCATGGCCGAACCATCTGCCAATGCACACAGACAAAGTATGGCACTTGCTCGTTGACCAGCCTCCAACTCCATCCAGCTCCAGGTTGTCCAGAAAACTAATTTGCTTTCAGAGTCGGTAGAAGGTGCCTGCAAAGGGTCAGCACAACCATTTTGGGCCGGTGATTCGAGCGACGTAACATACCTTAGCTAGACCAGCAGAGGAGACAAGGACTTGTCTTGCAACATGCAGGTTCCCATTCCTCTCCTCTGCAAGCGCATATGCCAGGTATAATCGAAGGTCGCGTGGGAATTGTTTCAGTAGTGCCCGGGCTCGTTTCTTGACATTGGCGGGGTCGTTAATCCAGTCCAGGGCCAAAGAGTATTGAGCCAACGACTCAGCAGCTGCGGTGTTGACCACCTGCCGCACCGCGTTTGCAGTCCAAGAAAGCGGCACAGGGCCCCCTAGGTTTTTGTCACGGGTTGGCCAACCTGCAAAATACTTAAACCAACTTTGACTTGCGAAGACACAGTCGAAGGATGCCCTCAGTTGATGCGCATCATAATCAAAGATCGGAAGGCGTTTTGCATCGTCCTCGTCGGGGTTGTGCTGAGCAGGCTTTCGTAGCAGCTCGCTCCTCAGGCCATGGAGGCTGCCAACTACGTGAGGATCATTCATTGCTGCCTTGATCCATCCATTTGATCCGTCGGCGGGAGGCAGATGACAGAACAAGAGGAAAGCATCAACCAACTGCTTTCTCAGAGCCGTTATCAAAGCTCCAGGGACGCAAAAGATGAGGTTTTCCAGATCCGAGAAGATGACGACGCGATATGGATCGTCATCAACACCTTCATCCATGGATCGGGCAGGCAGCCTGGCTTGCTGGCCTTGTACGTGCTCGGTGGCCCCCCATGCCTGGTACACGTTGCGCGACTTGCTTCTGTGAATGGGGTGTGCCACGGGGTCAGGGGCATCTAGTAGTCCGTCTTGTTGCACGTAATGAGCCCATCCCTGAGCGCTGTCTTCACCAATTCGGGGGACCTCGCTTTCCCAAAAGTCCTTGAATTGATCCATAACCTCTGTCGATGACGCGTCAGAGAGTGTCGAGGGTCGATTGAGATTCAACTCCAAGACGGCCTGCCACGCAGCCACGGCGAGTTCGCGGTACCCTGTATCATATACGAACCTTGTCATGCGCAGGAAAACATAAATGACTTGCTCATGAAGCGCTTGAACGTCTGTACCCTGACTTGCTCCTGGAAATGGACTCACAGGATACTTCTGTAAGCCAGGGAGAGATAGCAGACGCTCTTGATAAGCATCCTTCAGCTCTTGGAATTGAAATGCCGTCATGTTCGTCAACATCGAGTCGATTCTCTCTTTCCAAAGCACGAAGCTGGTCGGGTGTTGCTGCACAACGTCTAGTAGTCGCCGATGGAGCTTAGAGGCTGGCCAAGTTTTGGCTCCTTCCAGCATCATGCCGAGTAAGAGTTGCTCTTCATGGTCTGCAGATTGGGCTTGAAGAGCGCTCTCGTACATGGAAAGCTTAATCTCGGCAAAGCTGCGCACCTCGGCCTCAGTAGCTTCACCGCCAGAGTCTTGGATATTCTGCAAGAGCACATCCTGGTGGGAAATGAGGGCCAGCCATGCTTCAATGTCGTTTGGATGTTCTTTGACGCGACGTGAGAGCTCGATGGACTTCTTTCTAGCTGGGTCATCGTCGTCAAACCTCAATTCGCCGGCGTCAGACGAGTCGTATTCCAGCTCACTGTCAGAATACTGATGTGCTTTGGCTTTGCCTTCGATAGACCTGTAAACCATGGCTTCGTCCTCTGATGCCGACGCGTCATGTTCGTGGCGTCGGTTCTTCGCTTGGCTGAGTGGGACGAAGTCCTCTTCGCCTGATGATGCCGTGGCGTCTTTCCGTACCCGAATTCGCCTTGGCTTCGTGTGACGAACCTTGGCGAAAAGGTGCCTATCTTTCAAAGCCGAGGTTCCTTGACCCGGCCGTCGAATGCTAAATTCTTCGTCCATGGCATCGATGTGAATCGACAGGTAGCCATCGGAGCCCAGCAGCCGCCCACGCCCATTGCGACGGTACTGGGGAACCTTTGAACGGTCATTTCTGCGATACCTCGAGATCAGAGGGTCTCCCCGCTGATCTATAATGAACTGGGCATCTCCTGCCGGGGCGGCGTCGGGTTGCGACCCTGGCTGTGCTCTCACCAGTGCAAGCTTGTCTTGAGCTGGCGACCTTGAGCGATGACGATGCCGACTCTCAGAGGCGCGATCCAATCGATGCTTGTCTGAAAGGCGTTTATCCGGAAGATGTTCTAGACTACGCTCATATCTATCTCGACGGGATTCCGAAGCATGCGCGGATGAGTTTTCAGAGCGATGGTCGTGGCGGTGCCGGGACGAGCGATCGCGATCCTCGCGTCGATCATGTCGCCTGTGCCTATGAGATGTCCCGTCCTTGTGGCGCTTCGATGTCTTGTCAGACGTGTCCTCGTTCGACTGTGTCGATACGTGTGTCGATACGTCCAACACCGGCGCTGGTGGTTTGAAGGAAGAGAATTTGGGCACCGTCAGGCCCTTCCCATCGGACTCGGTCATTGAAACGCCAGCATGCCAGGTGACATTCGTCCCAACATGTGTAGATACCGGCAACGGGATACCGACAACCAACAACAGCGTGATTGAGAGCTTGGCTGGTCCAGGTGCTGGATGAGATGAAGTCGCTGGCAGATCGCGGTCGGCGCGTCTAAGCACTGACGGGCTCGGAGAGTTTCGCTATGGTTCATCTCTTGCAGGTTTTAGTGCACAAGTGCCCTGTAACGGCCCGTCAAACAGCTGTGGGCGGGCCAGGTCGATCGCCGGAGTGGACCGGGAGCGTGGGGAGTGGTTCCCCACAGGACGCTTTTGACGCTATAGTGACGTTTAATCGCCCACGCGAAAGCTCGCTCCAAGCTTTGGCCTGAGCATTATTGGGCGCGTGCGATACAGATGCGATCTTAAGGCTCGTCAAGCAGAGAATGAGCCCCGGTTATGCTTTGCATTCTTCGCATCCGTGGAGTCCATCATATTGGACGAGGCACTTGCACTCTTCTCTGACACGAATTTCGTCTAGTGCAACAACCAAGACCAAGGCACCTTAGGTACCTACCTTAAGGTAAGGTAAGGTACCTAGGTAGGTAGGTAACGTAGTCAGGCGCCTCGTGCACGTGAGGGTTACTATGTACCTACCTGCCTTATTTCGATAACGCTAGGGAGCTTGATGGGTCTGCGGATGGGTGGCTTGGCGGCACAGGCGCCACGCGGGGCGATGATACAATTTCCCTGCTGCCCTTCCCTTGACCTCCAAATAAGGTACCCTCGAGCCGAGCGTACTCCATGTCCGTGCCGAGCCTTGGGCAGGACGTGTGACCCCGAAGCTCGCCATAGCAGTGCGCACGAGATCGTCAACATCCCATTCCTCATTTTCGCTGTCCATCCACCTTTCTCCTACGGCCTACATCCATACCCTCCGCTCACGCTTCAAGCCACTCCGAAACATCTCTACCGTTGGGTCGGTGAACCAAGGGAACCTCTCCGACCTCAAACACCTTGTGTGCCCTTGCTCCTGGTCTGTCAGGTTGCATACCTCTCCCTGTCAACCAACAGGCTTGTCCACCCAGAGCATGCTGCGCATTTTGACGACATGCTCTGAGACACCTCGGTCACAAGCCCCATTCGAACCACCTTCAGCATTACTCCCAACCTACACCACCTGCCATCGGTGACGAAATTCCTGTGGTCTGGTGTGTACACCTCCCACATACCCTACAAATAAGCACGACCGACCCTCAGCCAGCAGTGTCAGGTTCAACATCCGTCGTGTACGGCAGCAACGGCCGTGACTATCACAGTCAGCCGTCGACTCTCTCATCCTCATCTGCGAAGCACCACGCCCATTGCGAATTGCCAACGCGAACTGGCCGAACAAGGAACACCCATCATGGCAGACAGGCAGAAGCACCTCTCTGCACCCGTGTCGCCAGCACACAGCCGACGCCCGTCTCGTCTCGATCTTAGCAGCAGCAACGAGCACCCAGACGAACGATCACCCTTGTTACAACGGTCGCGATCCCACATTCGCATACACAACAGCCATGATACATCAAACCTCAAGACTCCTGGGCTCTCGAGGAGAAACAGTGGGCATGGTACGGACATCTATGCCCCGGGGCACCTCATGCAGCTCCCACCCCGTGCTAACCTCGGAATTCTGTCTCTTTGTAGGAAGCATTAGGAGCTCCCGCCACCTCAGCTCACACCCATCCTCGTGGAGCGCTCGCTTGATCAACGCGATTCACGACCGACCAGATCCTATGCTCGAGTCGAAAGGCTCCCTGTTCTCCGACGAACGAGTATGGTACGATCAGTTTACATCGACGGATTGGGTGCACGACAACATTGCAGATGCTCACCGTCTCAAGGCATTGCGCAGCCGTAAAGACTTTCGTGGCCGCGTTCATGCCTTCTTCGACGCGTCCCAGGGCTGGCTCCTCAGCTTTGTGTGTGGAGTCATCATCGCCCTCATCGCCTATACCATCACAGTCTGCGAAACTACCTTGTTCGACTGGAAAGATGGGTATTGCACCAGAGCTTGGTATATTAATGAAAAGGTCCGCCATCCGCATCCTCTCAACCTGGTCATGCGGAAGAAGCAAGCCAACACGCACACTGTGGACACAAGCTGACTGGATACTAGAAATGCTGCCCTACAGGTAGCTGTGACGACTGGCGCCTTTGGTCCGATGTCCTCGAAACAAATCCCGTTGGGGGCGTGACCGAATATGTGGTTTACTTCATTTTGGTCATTGCGCTAGCCTGCACGGCATGCGCTCTGACACTGACCACAAAGACCGTTGTCCCTTCCGCATATAGGATGACAACCTTTGACGAGAACCTCGCTGCTGAGCTTCTTCCTGCGCTTTCCGACGACGAGAACCAGAGCGACGAGAACATCAGCCCCTCGCAGCCCGGTTGAGGAACCAGGGGCGCCACCAATGATCTACTACTCGGCCGCGGGCAGCGGCGTGGCCGAAGTCCGCGTGATCTTGAGTGGCTTCGTCTTGCACGGTTTCCTCGGTCTCCGAACTTTGGTCATCAAATCTGTGGCTTTGGTTCTCAGCGTCGGTTCTGGTCTCAGTCTCGGAAAAGAAGGACCCTACGTCCACATTGCTACGTGCGTGGGCAACATTGCCTGCCGCATGTTCTCCAAGTACGATTCGAACGATGCGAAGCGTCGAGAGATTCTATCGGCCACGGCGGCCGCTGGCGTAGCTGTCGCCTTTGGTGCACCACTCGGTGGCGTGCTCTTTGGCCTCGAGGAAGTGTCTTACTTCTTCCCAGCCAAGACGCTCTTCAGGACCTTCTTTTGCTGCATGGTCGCTGCCCTGACACTCAAGTTCCTGAATCCTTACGGCACGCAGAAGATTGTCCTGTTCCAGGTGCGCTACATCATCGACTGGGCTTATTTTGAGTTGGCCACCTTCGTCGTGGTCGGTATGCTGGGCGGTGCCGCCGGCGCGCTCTTCATCAAAGCATCCAAATACTGGGCCCAGAGCTTCAGGCGCATCAAGGTAATCAAGGCGTACCCGATGCTGGAGGTGCTGTTGGTGGCCATCGCAACCGCTCTGCTCAGCTACTGGAACGTATTCACGAGGCTCCCCGTCGCCAAACTCCTTCTCAACCTTGCATCGCCTTGTAATGACAAGGATACCGACCGGGACGACCTCGGCTTGTGTCCTTCGGAAATCAGCGAGATCCCCCCCATCCTTATGAGCTTGCTCGTTGCATTCCTCATCAAGGGCCTGCTCACCATTGTCACCTTTGGCATTGTAAGTCGTCTGTTTCGTATCCGGCCGCCTCTTGTCTAACAGCTCCCAGAAAGTACCTGCGGGTATCTACGTCCCATCCATGGTGGTGGGAGGTCTCATGGGCCGTATGGTAGGCCACATCGTGCAATGGACCGTCATGCGGTTCCCCCACTTTGGGCTCTGGAGCGACTGTGCAGCGACTGTGCCTGGCACCTGCATCCAGCCTGGTGCTTACGGCTTGATCGCGGCCGGCTCCACCATGTGCGGCGTGACTCGGCTGTCAGTGACCTTGGCCGTCATTTTGTTCGAGCTCACGGGAAGTCTGGACTATGTCTTGCCGTTCTCGCTGGCCATTCTCGTGGCAAAGTGGACGGCGGACGCCATCGAGCCTGAAAGCATATACGTGAGTCGGCGGAATCCTCATGACTCGAGAGACGAGCTGACACAAGCAAGGATCTCTTAACAAACATGAACTCGTACCCATTCCTGGACAACAAGCACAAGCCCACGTTCACGTCGGATTTGGCCGACATTGTGCCCCGAGTGCGTCGGGAACGTGTCATCAACGTGACGAGCTCGCCCTTGGTCCCGGCCACTAGTCTCCGGACGAAGCTGGAAATTCTGCACCGCGCAGGCGAGTTAGACGGCGGTCTGCCGATAATTCGTGACGACGTGCTGGTGGGGCTCATCCCGGCGCCGGACCTCGAGTACGCCCTCGATAATCTCGAGGACGAAGAGAGCACGCTGTGTCTCATGGCGCACGCGAGGCCGCACGGCGAATCGATTGAGGATTCAGGAGGTGAGGAAGACGTGGACCCGACCGATTTGACACCGTTCATCGATGCGGCGCCCGTGGCGCTCGATATTCGGTCGCCGATGGACCTGGTCTACGAGTTCTTCGTCAAGCTCGGACTGCGCTACATCTGCGTGCTGCTCGTCAACGGTAGCGCGGGTTTGGTGCACAAGAAGAGCTTTGTGAAGTACATAGT